TATACTATATATATATATATATATATATATATATATATATATATATATATATATATATATATATATATTATTATTATTATTATTATTATAGTCTACTATATCAGTAGATTTTTCTAGAAAATTCTAAAAAAAGCAATTTTAATTCCCTTTGAAATGACAGTTTGTTGAAAGTTTTATTGTTTAGGAAAGTACCAATCAAGATTTGTACACTGAGGCGAAAAGCAAAGAAACAAGAAATTCCTGGAATCTTAGCTGAAAAACTATTCGAATGCATCCAAATTGGTTAGCTGGGGGCTCTTGTAAATCGGGAAAGATCAATCCATCCTTCAATTCTCATCTTTTAAAATGGGCTTCGGGATAGGTGTTTTGATATATGCAGCGCTTCCAGTGCACCATTTCGGAGACTTTTAGCTCATGTTTGTTAATCCTGAAATTTTTAGCTAATGTTAGAGAAATATTAAACACAGTGCTTCATTACTATGACTCGGATTTTGCATTTTCTTCCTACACTTATTCTTAGCAATGCTGAAATTCTATAACGTAATGGAATGTCTAATTGTCAGAAATTTTAGTTTTCAGAGAAAGAAGAAAATAAGCACGTACTGTTTTCGATCTGATTTACTCAGGGAAATATGTCTTTGCATCTTAATTTCTTCAAATAAAAAATTATACATATGTGTGTATTCAAACTCAATCAGGAGTCTATTTTTAGCGATGGTTCCTGTGATAGTGTCTTATCGTTGTGTTCATGATAAGCAAAACGGGCGTGAATCTCAAATTGGATCACCATTAAAATCATAGCAATATCACTGAACATTAGGGATTTATGATACTGCTAATACTATAATTACGTTTAATATTATACGTTTAATAAGATGAATGTTGTTGAAATTCAAAAGATTAGAAATTCGAAAGACTAGAAATGATCGAAAACAAGAATTTCGGCATTTTCTAAGGGTAATTAGGCTATAAAATAAGCCGATTACTATGAAGTAGTATAAACCATCAGAATGTTTGGAACTTAGATTCGGATTTGCAAGTGACGACTCACCTGCACCAAGCTGTATGGATCCATAAATTAGTAAGCTCAAAGCACCTTTTTCGATCACCATTGTTTGCAGGAAACATTTTTTTTTCTCAGAAAGCTTTACTTTACTATTGTTTTTAACAGTAAATGTATTCATTGCTACCTGAATGGAAAGGAATCACTGCAGAATTGAATAGGCATGAGCAAATGGTTTTGGAGAAAAAAAAATGGCAAATCTTGAAAGTTTGAACAATCTCAATGGCAAAAAGAAGACAAAGCTCACAAAAATACATGAAATATCATCATGTGAAATGCATTCTTATTTACAATTCCAAAAAGTATATACTATTACAATGAATGTTGTCCAATGGAAATTAGTAGCTAAATAACACCATTCAGAGCAAAAATTGCAAATGACTTATTAGTTCACTCAAGAAAAGAAAAAATCGAAGTTCAAGGAAAATGTGAATTGGATTAACGACAAAATGTTATTACGCTTTCGAAATCCAGGAATAAGGTAGACTTTACGAAGTTGTAAGGAAAAAAAAAGATGACCAGTCGTTCGTGGGGTGTTATGTTTGTTCACACAAAAAAAAGAAGACGGAAAGGATAATTTACAAGTGATTTTGTACCCATAGAAACATCAGATATACATATGAACATTAATAAATGGATATTCAACAAGCCATCTGAGAACTATAAATTTTATGAACCTTAAATCGATGTTTTAAGCGGTCATGAGATTTTCCACTGTTTCATTGTTTCGAGAAATTTTAGAAAATCCCAAAAAAAAGAAAGGAAACTAAGTTCTAATTAATAAGTAACCATAACGGAATCTGTGGGAGAAGTCGAAATATCACAGGTAACCACTAGTTCACAGGGAAAGAAGGAAACAGTAGCGATGAGAACGATTCGCACAACTAATAAACTTTAACTACTAATTCCGCCGATGGAGTCCAGGATATGCACAGAGTTCCTCGAAGTGATTTCATCCGGAGATGATGTGGATATCTTGTCAGCTTTATCACCGTCTAACGAAACCTGCAAAATAATTCTGTGAAAGCTTACAGGAATTACGAATTATAGTGTCTTGAAGTTTTGCCAATTAGAAAAAAATAGAATTTAGAAAATTCTAGAAAGAAATTCCAAAGCTTTTCATTATGCATTCAGAATAATTTTTGGAGTTCACTAAATTTCGAAATTAAATTTATAAAAAACACACAATATCTCCGAAATAGCCGTTAAGCCTTTCCATCATTGCTGCAAATGCATTCTTCAGCATGCTATGGTATTCAACTTGATCATCACCAATGGCTGCTTCATTTGCTTCTAAAGCCTCCGCGCAAACTGATACAAGACACCTGCAAAATAAAACATTCTTAGTTTCATAAGATCCATTTGAGAATCAGATTTCCATTTGCTCAATTCGAAAGGTTTATATTTTCATTGCAAACCTTCAGCCATGTCTTACTACAGGCAGACACAAAAACAAAACTGTCAAGAGCTACCGACAGCGTGCATTAAAATATGAAAGCCTATAACATTAAATTACACTATTTTACCCAAACCTATTTTCTTGCAAACTTCTAACAATTTTGCTCTCTTGAGAAATTTTGCAGTACCTGAACGCATCTGCCAATTTTTCAGTACCACTAGGACCATAAAGAATTTTCTGCGTTGGTGTTGTAAATGCTTCTGCATAAGCAAGAGGACCAACATTCACCTGCAGATAAATTCCGTATCTAAGCAATAAATAAAAAGTTTAAACTCAGAAATTTAAACTAAGCAATGGAATTCACAAAACTCCTCCAAAATCCTTTCAAAAAAACAATGTTCAATTTCTGAAGATATGGAAAACTCTTCACCTCTCACTATGAACAAATAAGAATGAACAAAAGCTAACAGTAGGTTGCACAGCGCCTTGTAATAGCAATTGCAATCCTTTGACATCCAAACGCCTCGTTGGCTCACCAGTAGCAGAAGCTGCGTCTAATATTCGCCGTAATTGTTTTGATTTGAAAATAAGTTTGTCACATGCTAATTCCAATGGCGACAAGAATGTTTCGGATTGATTCACGACACGTGCACGGCGTCGTGTATTCGGGAAACTATCTTCTACTAAAAATTTGCAATTTTTTGACAAACTGAAGAAAAAAAAAGCATAACAATGAGAAAGCTAATTCGCTCCTTCCTCCTGTCCCATGTAAGACATATTTTCGAAGCAGTATGACAAGCAAATGAGGCTTAAATTCTACAGAATGGATAAAAGATGAGGCTTAAATTCTACAGAATGGATACAAGTGTATAAATTGAAATTTTATAAATTCCATAGATGCAGAAGAAAAAAAAAAATTTTTACCTGTGATAAAAATACGTTTAAGTGCTTGTCGAGCGACTTGTGGTGCACCGACAGCTACTTTTTCATCAATTACCGATACTTCATAAAAGAAATCTCGTATGTTTGTATGAGCCTCATAACTGCTAGCATCATAGCCTTTCATGCACGGTTCGACATGCATCATCTGGACATATGCTATCGATTCTTCTAATTTGGTTTCATCAATCTGTATGAAATTATTTATTCGTACTTATTGCTTTTTGAAATGAGATTGCAACGCAGATGCAGAAATGTAGGGAGAATTATATCATATTTCAGATCAAAGTAAATGACAATACCAGCAATTATTGGGCAATTGTCCAATAGAAATGTCGCCGAAAATTATGTAAATTGTATACTTTATGATTTATATCATTTAAAATGTAGGATTTTTATATATGGCAAAAAAACCCGCAATCAATTTCAACGAAGTAATATCTGGAAAAAGAGACGGAAATTTGCACCTCTCTTCCTGTGATAATTTGTATTCGGTCATGACCAAGAACACAACGGCATGCATCTGTCATGCGCTCACAAGCTTCTGCCAAAGAGGTATGACCTACTTCACGATAAACCCATTCAGTACTATGTTGGTCTCTAAAAATTGGGATCAGTATACTTAAATAAATATATAATAGTATCAAAGTGAACCTACACAACACTTTCAAGCTGTTTTCAAGAAAGTTCGAATATTCAAGTTCATGTTCATGTTCAAGTTCAAGTCACAAGGAAGTTTACAGTTTAAATAAAACAGTACGCAGAGTTGGAAAGGTGGGAGAACTGTAGAGACTGAGCTCATTTCACTATACATGTGGAGAACAACCTCAGTCTGAAATTGTAAGCAACTTCAGTACTGACAAATAACGACTCTCAAAGAAATGGAAATGACTCTAAGTAATAAATATACTGAAGTCGTACCCAAAATGTTTAGGTCCATAGAAGAGTATTTTAAAATATGTTCCAAGATGCCGTTTACCACTGACTTTCATTTGATCCGCTAAGGTGAATGCTTGTTGCAACTCAGCGTATATGCTAACCAATGCCTAACAGGAAAAAAATTTTCGGTTCCTCAAAAAAAATGAAATATTGAAAATATAAAAATGAAATATATAAAATATAAAGATTAAATTGGGATTTTCCTGTGCAAGAAAAAGAACTTACCCGATAATTTTTTTGCTGTTCATATATTGGAATCGCTAAACGACAAACCGGTCCCACTGCTTCATATCTTTCAGCCATGATTAATGTTTGAACTAACTTTTCTACTTTTGCAGTGAAAGTATCCTGCAAATCATTGATCAAGAAAATGAAAGATTCCCGTCTCTGTCTCCACCGGACTACTCAAAAACCCCATGAACTTACCAAATTGAATCCTGCTTGCTGTATAATTTCTGAATCTGTATCATTTACAATTTCCTCCTTGGCTATCGTATCGTTGATGCAAGCTAGTAAATCCCAGTCGATTTTTGCATATCCTGATTTCATCAAATCTATTAGATGAAATATATGCATTCAGTTTTTTGAAGTAAATATCTGAACACTCTTGTTTAGATATTTAATTCGAGGATCACAAAGATCAAAAATTTTGAACTTTCAAATTGTATACAGTCATATGCCAAAGTGCACGCTACATGATAACGGAATGATCATCCACTTTTTTTTGAAGACTACTTCCAAAAAAAAGAATCATCAGAAATAAAAAACAATTGTACGTGAATAGGGAAGATGTCAAACTGAATGATCGGAAAAAAAATAGAAAAAAAATGAAAAAATGGATCTTATGGATCGGAAAAAAATTGTGGGATATTAAAGACAACATTTCAATTGTGGATGAACAGGGAAAAACTAGGAAAATTACTTCGTCGCTCCATAAGTTTGATAATTTGAACAATTTCAATGGACTATCAGAAGTCTCCCTATCTTAAAAAAATAATGCACAAAAATTATACAAACCATTGATGACAAGTTCCCGACCAATGATGGCAATGACATGAGCTTCACAAACAGCTGCTTCGGAAAACCAACGCTCACGAATATGCGTTTCAGCAAGCGTCTCAAACCAGGCACTTCTCAACGCTGCCGACCCTCGATAGCTATCAGCCAACTGTACATGTAAATCTGCTAATCGAATCTGCAAAAAAAAAAAAAGTAACTATGAAATATTCCAAATTTATGGAAAGAGAAAAATATTTTAATGAATCAGTGAATGTAAAAATGTGCTTTACTGTTTAATTTCATTTTGGATTCTTAGACAGAGTTTTAATGAAATCAAAAAAATACAGGATCATCAACAGCTTTCGTAAGAGCACCAGTTGCCGAAAGGACACCTCGTAATTGCTGAATTAACTCCTAAAAGAAACAAAAAATATTTTAAAAAGCAATAGAATCAGCAGTACTGAACACGTGAAATTATTTTATTTCTTTAAAATGACAAATCAGAGAATCAAAATCAGATGCGAAAAAAATAAAAATGTAAATTTTTCCGGTTCTTTTTGGACGTGGATTAGAATTCCTATTGGAAAATACTAAAACTTGGGACAAAAACAAAGTTCAAATTTTACAGTAAAATAAAACAAACTTGACGGAAAAATTCAATAAAACTCCTCGGGTAAAAGTGAATTATATTGCTTTTTTCATTTTATTTCAACAAAGCTCTAAATTCGAAGTCAAGTTAAAAAAATGTTTTTGTCAAGTTTATTTTTACTTCTACTGCTCGTTCAAAATATGTTGGTCTGGTTCCAGACAAAGGTTTCACTAATATTTCCAAAATTTCCAATCCGCGTTCGAAACGGCTTCTACTCGTAAGAGGAACTTTTCTTCCAAGTAGTCTGAAATAAAATTTTCAAAGTGTCATCCAAACTCCAAAACCTGACATTTGTCTCAACGACTTATAAGTATTTGAACATATTTCAAATTTGAATCATAAGCAATGACTAAATTATAATTCCATACAATTGAAATGCCAAAAAATTCGTCTGAAACAATGATGCTATTACAACTGCTAAACACTTTGTTTAAAACCTAAGTTTTCTTAATAGTTCGGAAAAATACACTGACAGCTTTAAGTGTTCAATGTTTCACCCAGCTGACCTGAATTACATATATTTTTATCACTAATACATCCAATAGACAATGTGCCAACCTTGCTAATGCGACGCCAGTTTGAGAACCAGGTCGACCAAGCCTCTGCACATCGGAGATTTTCGGGGATTTTGTTGCATTTAAATTGGCTATAGGAAAGCGTACTGTAACATTTATAAAATTATCGCGTGAATTTTGAAGTGTTGCATAAATCGTTGCTAAGTACTCGCTGACAGTCCAACCACTAACAATCGAATTAAAAAGGAGGGAACTAACGTTGTTGCCAATTTAAATGTTGACAGTCACATAGCAGGAGTCAAGATGCCTCAAGATGATTTAAAAAATAATTTTGAAATTAAACCTTCAACAAGACTCAATACTTTTAAGGCAGATTTGCGATGAGGTATATGGAAAGAACCTGTTTTCGAGCTGCAGTCGTAACCATTTCTAAGAATGAGATGTAACAATGCTGCAGCGGCACTTTGTATTTTCGGGAGTCGACTGTTCATTTGGAGCAAAAGTAATTCGATCAATAGAGCTAAGCCATCTAAAGGACCACTTTGGAAAAGTTGGATGCGGAACTGTAACATCAAATTTATTTATTTTTCATTTTGAACTTAACATATTAACAAGCATTTACTTTAATGTTATTGCCTTCTGATAAATACTCAATTATAGCTATACAAAACTTTCCAGGCTTTGGACTGCGACATATTGCAAGGTAAAAATGCATTCCGATTTTAATTTTCCACAATTATGACTAGCAAGAATGCATCTAGGCTCTTTAATAGACAATTCAAGCAGAACATAAAATACATAACGATCACAAAGATGATTTCAGTGATTTTTAAATCAATTTTTTATGTTGAAGAAACTGATAAATTCCGCAGACCATAACGTCAATCATTAACAACCAGATGAGAACTTACCAAACCAACAAAAACAGCAAGCGCACCGAGGGCGTGATGTCGAACAGCTTCTGGCCAATAATCATCCAGCAGTGAAAGTAAGAGACGGAGCAATTGGTAAAAACTTTTAGTTCCTTCGGGGCTCGTCGAATTTTTAATGGCACTCTTCAATGAGTGATTATTTCAAAAAACACTGTAGAAAAAACTTTTGCATTCTTCCCTCAGTTAGCGGTGAAAAAAGTTGTTAAATCTAGGACCACAACAATACATTTTCACTTCCGTTAACACTTCATTTGTCTGCAGAACATATTCCTTCTATAAGTTACAGTGAAATATCAACAAGGAAGTTCCTTATTTAAAAATCCCGCATACAAAAATATTTTGATAATCACAATTAAATACTCGAAAAAAGCTTACCGAAACATGTTGAGCTAAAACTTGTACAGTTTCTAAAACAATCAAAGCTATCTCTTGAGTCAAATTAGACTCTTGCAAGACGCTAAATGGAGTTGCATCCTCTACGTCTGTTTCAATGCATGGCTTTGCTGATAAGGAATCTGAAACAAATGAAAAAGCTGAGTTTACGTCGAAATTTCCCAATCTTGTTCTAGTAACATCACCCATTATGTGTAGTGCAATGCAGATGACAGAAGACCCATGAAATCGAGAGACAAATATTGGAAACACTCTAGCTTGGCCTTGGGAAACAATATTTTAATATTGTCGAACTATAAAAATTAAGAATCTGTTAACTGATAAACAAATGCACAAAATAAAACTAAATTGAAATGAAAGGAAAACCTGTTCCGAGGGAACCGAAGCCGCTCGATATTGACGTGTGGCTATCTACTGTCGTCGAATTAGTACCTGTTCCAGCGGATGAGCTAGAATGCGGCAGAATTACCAGCGTTCTTCGCGTACCTCGTATTCTGCAAAAATCCTTTTATTTATCCAACCAGTTCTCAAATTAAATATATAGATTTTTGAATGCACCAGTAATCGAAAAAGATGTGCCTACAGATGTGTCCTCTTTTCCAAAGAGAAATTTTTTTCATTTTCTAATCAAATACAATATAACAAGTAGCATTGAAGGACCAGTAAAACAGCAGAACTTAAAGATGAATAAATAAGCAAATCACTTGAGCAAAATCACCAATAAGCTAATAGAAAGTAGGGTCTTTGATTTTTTGCAAAAAACATATGAGGATTTACTTATTAGATGTCCGCTGCATAGTGTAATTTCTGCCGTAATATCTGAAGAAATCGAGAGCAATACGTAACAAAGAGATGAAACTATTCAACGAACCACTTGATTCATAACGAGATACCATTGCAGCCAAAATTTTACGGGGCAGGAAATGTAATAAATAAAGAGTGCACAACATCAAATCTCGTGATTCACCCTGGAAAATTGAAAGAGTTGATCTGTTGAGAAATTATCCTTCATGCTAGTTTATAGCACAGTGAGTATTGGTAAAGAAAGTGCAGATTTGGACATAACTTAAACTTCGGCAAGCACAAAGCATTTTTTGCTGTATGCAATATTTAATACATACATGTTCGTCCAACAAAAAGAATAAAAAAAGCAACAAAATAGAAAAGAAATATGAAGAACAGAAATCCTTTATCTCTTTCATTTAGATATTTACTAGTAGTTATGATACCTACCAAAAATTTATTTAGACCTGGATAATTCACTAAGAAGAAAAATTTAACGGTCCATCGTTTATTTTATTAATCGAATTAACTTTCTTTTTTCAGCAAATTTTGGAATCTAAGCCAAAAATATTTAAAACGCTAACCACTGTAATAAGCAAGAAAAAACAGAAGGGAACATACTCGATCCAGCTTTTCCATTAAACCGGCAATACAAGGTACAGATGAAAGAGAACTGACTTTTTCTACATAAGACTGATGCGAGGAAACACTTTTCGAAGAACATCCCATTCTAGACAAAACTCCATGCGATGGCAAGGATAACGATCGACCTAAAGATGAAGACCGAGTAGACGGATGAGGGTGTGCAAATCACAGTGAAGTTTGAAATAAAAACAATAAATGTCCATTTTAAGATAAGGCTAAGAATAACTATAATGGAAAAAAGAAATCCATAGAAAGTCAAACCAATTTTCAAGTCAAATCAATTTTCACGAAAACTGAAAATTAAATTATTATATTTCTATTTTCAGAAGATAAAAGAGTTTGAAAAAGATAAACAAAGGTTTAAAATATATTCTACCAGTAGCAGTTAGACCGGTGGGTGACAGACTCTGTGAATCTGTTTTAGCAGCTGATTCAAATTCTGCTATATTATCAAGTACTAAACTGATCAGTGGAGAATACAATATAGCAATACAACTTTGAGCACTCTGAAAAAAATACAATGCTGTTTAGGATTTTATTTGACTCCGCTCAACCTTCTGAAAATCAAGTTTTTTTTAAAAAGTACTCGAAATTTTAATCGTTTTTGCTTGACTATATGAATGAGTACTTCTTAGTGTGTATTTCAGGACAATTTATTTTGTCTCGGACTGTTTGTCATTCAGTAAGACTTGATGACAGTTTTGAATGTGAAATTAACTGGTATATTTCTCCATTTCCTTTTTATGTTAAGGTGAAACTATAAGGAGAAAAAATAAAGAAAGTTGATCCAAAGTATGTACAATAATTTACTTACAGTGTCCATATATCGTTTATCACTAGCATGCTTTGCAAACAAGTTCCTCAACAGCGCAACTACTCTCCGTCGATAATCACGCGGTTCACGAAGTGATGCATTCAGTTCTTGATATAGCAAGCCAACTGGAAAGTGATGTCTACAATATGGGGCGGACAAGATAAATTCCTCCGAACATCTGCTGTCTGCAAATTAATTTTAAGAGAATATATTCCAAATCTTCACGCGCAAAAATACTCAAAAATTGTCTGCAGTGAAAAGTCAACGACACTTTAATAAATTCAAAACCTTGACTTCCACTTTTAGTAAATTTTGAACCATAATTTCAAATAAAAATATGATTCGGACCATTTTTCAATATCATTATATATTTTCCAATTATTAAGCAATTAAATAAACTACATTTTCTTACCTTATACTGTTAAATACCAAATTATCCTATTCAAATCACCTAATAGCTAGGCTGTGGCCGTTAATAATATGAAGAAAAACATAAGAATCATTCGGTAGAGCAAAAAAATTCTGAAAAACAACTTACAGCAGCTGTATTCATTCCCACTGCCATTGTTTATCGGAGGCGAAAAAAATTTCGAAAATAAATTGGTAAACAGACTGCTGGTATTAGAGTTCGTGACTATAAATAATATAACTAATAAATAAGGTGTTCCTTTCCCTCCAGTTTCATGAGGGATAAGCAGTATGTCTGGATGAGTTTGCTTTTATACGTGTCTTTTATATCATATGTGTGGAAACACAACAAAATACATCAGTTATAGGAAAGGAAAAATGTTTCCTGCTAAACTAACACCTCAATATGCTAAGAAGACACTTACATATGCTCTCTGTACTTGGCGTACTATTCTTCCTGAAGATATTTCCGGAAATGTCGCACATCAGCGGCAAGCATAGTGGAATCCAGTGTTCATGACTGCTAATTATGTGCAAAAATTCCAGTTTATAATCAAGCATAGTCTGCAAACAGTGCTAGCACACATTTTTCGAAGTCCTGAGTTCAACAAATTGTGTGGTAATTCTCAACTGGTTCAGATAACTGTATGAAAGAGGACCAAATAAACTTATTTAATCCGATAGTGCAGTAGAAAGCACATGCAGTAGAAAAACGAAATTTGACATATGCACGCGATGACATTTGTCCTAAAAGGCCTAAGCTCATCGCTGGCTAAAATAAGACGGGATCTTTCATATTCCTTATATCGTACGATGTGTCCAAACTATAAAATTGTTTAACTGATTTGAAAAATAAGCGCACCCTTGAGCAACTTTCATCCATACTTCCAACGGTGCGATGTATCCAGGAAAACACAGAACCACGATTCATAAAACTCAAGCAATACTGAAATTCTTTCAGCTTATAAAAATTATTTTAATTAACAAGCTCATAACTTGAACAACATACAAGAATTGTCAACCATTCAAATAACGTCCTTCGATAATTGTTATTATTTGAAAAAAATTCATTAACTGAATATCCGTTAAATTGTTACCCTCAAGAAATACGCGACAGCTGAATTTGCCAGTTGACACTCCTGAGGAATATCCCGATGTTTTGCAATGATAAGCAGTACAACCTTATCAATTAAATGTTCAATTCTAAACAGCAATTCCCGTGAGAAACGATTTTCTCTTGGCATCTAAAATATCGTTAAATGATTAACGATTTAACGATTTAACGATTAACGATTAAAAATTTTAATAAAAACTATAATAAAAATGGTTGTACTGCTATTATGGTTGGTTTATATAAGCTTTTCTTCTGAACAAATTAACACGTTTATACTTATTAAAAGAATCAAACCTTATATAAACCAACATCAAGCAACCATAATGCCATACTCTTCGCAGCAACAACCAAAAGGAACCAAAGTTGCCGGAATGTTAAGGCAAGTGAGCCATTATCTGTCTGAATGTAATTGATCTAAAAAAGCACCTTTTAAAAGCTTCATAAAAAAACTGGGAACCTCTAACAGTGCTTAGCGTAGAAATAATCTATGAACGAGGCGGAGCTTTACTTAAACAGTAAATCATAAAACAAATTATTCGGGAACAAATAATTTGATACAGAAAAATTTTAAAAAAAAATTCAAAAAATGATGCTGGAATTTACATGCGAAGTAATGTGCTTGCATAAGGCTGAATGCACAGTTTCATCCTCAGGGTCTGATTTGCTTTTCACTGCTGCTGATTGATAATAATAAATGACAAATGTACGCAAAAGATGATTTTGACCTGCTGCGGCAATTTTATCAGTAATGCCAATCAGCGTACTATAAAAGGCAATTAGTAAATCATGCACAAAATCAATATTACCTTGTCAACTTCGTGAACCTCTCTGGAAAATTAATTTGTCAAAAGAATCAATCATTCTTAATATTCTCGAAAAATCAAATTGTACTTGAGAGAAAAAAAAATTGGACTTCACCAACTACTGGCTAAATGGTTGGGATTGTAACTATACATTGGGACTGTTGCTCGCTTTTCAGAATAGCAGCATACAAAAAGTAGCATGTACTACCCACAAACAGCGGTGCAATCCTTTCTAGTTATTCCTAGGGCGAAAACATTTGAAGAACAAACCCCAGAGTACTCACAGCCATTTCATCGGATGACGAACATGGCAACAATCTGAATAACCGATTCAAGATTACTGGCAAGAATGGAATAATTTTATCAATTTCGACTTCCAACAGATCCTATAAATTGGGTAAAGTAATAAAAATCATGCATCTATGTTGTCTTGAGTATTTTCTATTATTTTTACCTGACATTAAAAATAAATTTCAAATTATTTTGTTTTAATACTGCCTACCCTTTGTGCTTTCTGTTTATCAAAATTCTCGAAATAGAAAGAGCTAAGTTTTTGCAAAACATGTGAACGCCGTAGTAGCAATCGTGGTCTTGCTCACTATGTTTGTATTCTTGTAAATGAAAAATTTTTGAAATCTCTATAAGAAAATAAAAGTAGGAAATCAACCAACAGCATGACAACTGTATGGTAACTAGAAGTATGAAAATTAAAAGTGTGATAACTAGATAATTATGGTAACTAGAAGAGTTACTTCATCATACATTTATTCTATATTACCTCAAAGAAAATAAAACATCCGGAAGACCTTACTATTCGAAAAATTTGACAGTGCTATTTAAAAATGAAGGCTTTGTTTATTAATAGCAAGTTGTTCCGCCCTACTGCAAATGTCACGATAGGTTTTTGTAAACATGCATTTCTCTCGACGGTAAAACACGCACATGGGACAATGGTGTATTCATAGCTCACCAATAAAACCCATGCCTGCTGCTAAAACATTCTTAAGTTGATCTAGCTGACCCACTGTTAATTTATTATATTATAAAGCGGAAACAGAAAAAGCAAATTCACTGAATATCAAAAAAGAAGCCATTCGTTGTATGCGGTGAACCGTGTTAGAGTATAAAGTATAAATAAATGCATATATTGAGAAGACAAAGAAATTAAACACAGAAAGTGATGAAAGATATTGATCAATCCATCACGAAACATAGAAATGCTCTTTGATGAATAAAAAACACTTATATCAGCTACACATACATTTTTTAATGAAAGCTACAAATAAGCAATAAAATTCCGAGTACTAATCAGGATTTTCCAATAATTAAAGTAATAACTCCAATTTCACTAAAATACCGTCGCACATCTGGCACAGTTGTTCAGGCTATAAACCACGGTTATGCATCCGTAATTTTGCGACAAAACTGTATGAACTAAGCCTCACCTCGATTTTTCGTACTACATAATGCCAAAATTTCTCTTCCTCCGAGATTCCACGATTTTCGATAGGTGGTGAACAAGAATGCGACACCACTAGTGAGGGAGGTGACGACGGTGTATTGCTAACTGGCGAAACTGAACCCGGCGGACTGGACCACTATAATAGTAAAATACCATTTTAGCAAATTTATACCCCAAAATAAGCAAGGCAACGAAATATCCCCTGAAAACCAAATAACATATTAAAATGTCAGTTCGAATAAACTAATGATTCGTTAAATCGAATAAATACAAATTGTCTCAGGAAATGAGATTCGATTATCACTTTAAAAAACCAAGTCAGAAAAAGCTTAGAATCGAAATCAGTAACGTTAACCCCACAATCTCTGCGATTTTCAATGACTAGCTTTTTTTTTAAAACTTTCAGAAAAATCAGAATTCGATAGCTGCGAAAGTGTCAGAACGAAACCCTAACCATACTGCGTACAAATATTAACATGCTTCTGAATAAAACAGAAAATCAGTGCAAAATATGGTAAATAGAAATGAACAATAAATAAAAACATAAATTAAATATAAATAAAAACAAATAAAAATGAACATCATTTGATGGTTTTCAGTTCCCAAGATAAGTTGCAGGTATTAGTAAAAATGTAAGATCACAGATGAAGAGTGTCAACTGTGAGAAAATCCAACGTCGACAATATATTATTGCCAAATGAGAAAAATGGAAAGCGAAGAATATGGTGTTTATCATTAAGAAAACTTGACTACCGAAAGTGTAAACTGCAAAACCAGCCAAAGATTACAAGATTATGTATAGTCATTTAACAAAAATAATTTCTATACTCAATACTATTTCTTCGCTTCAATCTTAATCTTTTTGCCCTATTTTCTCTTTCCGGCCCTATCCCCGGCACAGTAAAACTAAATCTAAAAGAATAATAAACCAACCTTAGTTTTTGAGGAAGCATCGCCAGCAAGACCTGCACGTTGAAGCCTCTGACAACTTTGAAAAAACGCTTGCAATTTTTTTTCTGTTGTAAATGCTGAAGAAACAAGCCGCAGGCGTACACGGAATAACTGTTTGCCATTATCTACCCAACGGATTTCTGGTCCAGTATGCTGTAATGAAAGTAAGTGGATTAAAAAGAAAAAGTGGAATAAATTAAACTGATACATAATGGGACTGCTCTCGATTACAGATGAGCAGAGGAAACAAATGGAGTGGGAACATTAACATCAGGAAAGAATTTGAACTATATTCGCTCTCCATTAATGCCATCGGAATGAAATAACATCACATCATATAAGGATAACTTGCCCCTTTTCCAAATCCTAATGACTGGTAGTTTACATAGCCGGATGGTAAATCGATGGCCACTGATAAAGAAAATTCTTGATCATCACGTTCGATTATCAAACGATCTTTCTTTAACAATGGTAGCCATGCATATCCAATAGGACTATCAGAATTCTAAAATCCCAAGAAAAAAAAATTTCATATGATACAAGAAAGAAATGGCCTAAGAGCAACTACCACTTCACCCTTAAAAAAGTTTCGATGATAGGCATATAAAAAAGGGGTAAAATAAATAAGGAATAATAAAAGATGAAATTTCTAGATTTCTTCCCTCAACTTTATATAGTGAGTAATAATTCAGCAGTGATAATAAAAAAAAAAAAAAGGGAAACCTCGTTCTGAGATTTGTTTGAAGCGGTGCCTGCAACCGATACATGGCTAAATGAAAATAATAAATGATCGCCGGTGTCTAGTGAAACTGGAAGCTGAATTTTTATCTGAAAACAAAATTTAAAAAAAGAAGCACATCCTACAATTTTTAGAATCCAAGGAGGTGACAAAGTGCACTAGAATGAAAACTCCCGCATTATTCTCCTTTAAAGTATTAGATGTATATGATGACTACAGATAAAAAACTTGCACAAAATTACCTACTATGTCAAATTCAGTGAGCTTAAGTTTCCAATAAGTAAACCCGAGCGAAAAAAATGTATTACTGACAGATCATCAAGGAGTTGTGCAATCTGCAGCTAGAAATACCTCATCGGTAAAGACTGGATTTTGTTCATGATACTGCACTGAGCAACGCATGCTGTGTACAAATGGTGTAGGTGATGAGAATCGATTGTAAATGACCTAAAGTTGAAACATGGATTTCAGAAACCAGATAAACAAACTGATCATAATACACTTTAATTAGAAAAGTCCGAGTACACTTAGAATATTTCAAATTAAAAAGAAATGCTTATTTCCGAATGTTCACTCTAACTGATTACTTCCATATGCATATACAATATTGTCTAATACTTCATTTAAAAAGATCTAAAAGTGGAACGTACTTGTGACATGTTTTCTTTTCTGGTTGAAGAAATGAAACGCACAGTACACACGATATTACGTGCTTTATTAAACGCCTTCTGACCATCATACTTGAGTGTTAATGGATAAACATAGAGTAAATTAAAAAGATTTGTGTATGGCTCGCTAACAAAATCGTTGAAGGATTGGGCTTCAAAGCAAGCAGGTACAAGACTATCAGATGCTGCGTTCCACGGACGAACAGGCATAAAACTTGAATTTATACACACTGGAAAAAGTATAGAAAAGATACACTGAAAGCAAAACATCAAATACTTCAAACATGTAAAAATTACAAAAACATTTCCTGTTTCTGTCGAAAAAGACCAAAAAGTACAGACTTGACAGCTCGTGTGCTTTTGGTGAGAAGTCAATATTCATACTGATAGTTGCTGTTGGTAACTGTGTCAGTTTCCCGGATTTTTCAACTCTGAAATGAAAATGGTCAAATTCAATGAAATTACGAGAATTTTTTAAAAACTTTCCAGATCTGTCTGGTTGCAAACTGTATAAACAGAACTAACCGTCCAAAATCAATGAGAATCTTTTGCAAATCAGCGTCACTTAGTCTGTTTCCTTCACAACGATAAAGCTGCATTTCATTTGGCGATTTCGCCCCACATCCTAACATTTCTTGAAATACAGGCCTGAAATATCATACCTACCTCAAAAAGAGAAAAGCAATAGCTCATATCAAAATGATTCTAGTGAAAATAACATCAGTAATCTTCATATCAAATATCAACTGCGTACAGTGATGTTAGAAAAAATCACTTTTGCTCCCATTTACGAAGATATGGATGATCGATGAATCAAATGAAATGAGATAGTTTAAGGATATACGAAAAAAAGCAAAACATCTGCAGATAGAAAGATCCATTTATATATGCCTCTACGGGGTCTTTATATATATATCTATAGGCTATTTGGCGATCCTAAAAACGAAGACAACGGAAAAGGATCAGTTGGATCGACACGAGACGTACAAGAGTTATACCTTACATAATCTACAGATTAAACAACAAACTTTCTAACAACAAATAATAAAACAGACCTTGCAGCCCAAGCAAAAGCCATTTTATCCTGCGTTGCTTTTGAGCAGGCCTGCTGAATTACTTTCTGCAACTTTGCAACACCTTTTAGGTCATTTGTTGTTTTCATATACATTTCTCCTGATGTGTCGACCGAAAGTAGTCGATCAACACGAACAACCAAGTAAATATCACGATGTGGTTTGGCAATTGAATATATAACCTGCAACTTTCTCTTAAAAAACTGAACACTAAGAGTCGATAATATTGATAAGTTGTTACGATGGACAATGAAGTGATCTAATAATGAAGTGATGAGAGTAATACGGTCAAGGGAAATGACAAAATTTTCGAGGTGAAAATGAGCAGTCTTCTCGGATGTAAAGTAAAAAGAAATTAAACAAATATGAAGAAACAATACAAGAACGAAAAAAAAACAATAGAAATGCAAAAAGATGAACTGAAACTAAAGTAGAAACGAGCGAGAAATATGCCAATATCATTTCCATCATTCCTTCACCAACTAGAAAAATAGAAGTGAAATATGAGCCATGAAACGTTCGATAGAACAGAGATACAGAGATAGAACAGAGATAGAGAATGAGATAGAACAGAGATAGAGAATGAAATATTTATTAAAGAAATGAAAAATTATCGCCAGTAATTTTCCAATTTCTAGAGGACAACCTTTCGAACGTTTTTATCCCCAAGTATTCGTTGGGACAGAGTATTAACACCATCTTCTTCCAGCGTGCTTTATCAGCTAAACTCTTGCCACCTTCACCTCGGCCACCAATTTCTAATGTTGCAGTTAACTCGTCGTTGTTCGGATCAATTCGGAACTCTTCGGACAATCGACGACCAGTTCGACAATCGTACAGAAACATGCGGACAAAGAAAGGTTCAATCTGAAATTGATAGTTGATGCAAAACAATAACAAGAGAT